AAAAAAAAGAAAAAATGATTGAGAAAATTAACTAGAGAGACATGAGACACAAAATGGATTTTATTTTACCTCGTATATTCACAACAAAAATTTAGTTGTTTTGGGCTTGTGTTAGTGTAATAAGATGAGGAGGAGAGGTATATCTATCTTCAGATTTGAAAGGAGAAAAAGGTAGTACAAACTATGGATCTTAAAGACTTTAGGTGGTGTGAACTAACTAACATTAATGATAATAATGAAAAACTGTCGGGGAAGAGTGAAGACGAGGTCTTATTGGTGTGGATAGAGAAACTCGTTATTTATTCCCACTGTACAAATGGGGGCGCGTTTTATTTTATGCACTATTATTATACTGTGTATTTGTTGTTTTGATTGTTATTATAAGGTGAAGGTCAAATGTATTCTCTACAATAATGATATGATGATGCCCAATCATAGTTTCTTGTACACTATGATATGAGCTTTTTTTATTATTATTATTATTATTATTATTATTATAACAACTAGAGAGTTATACTTTTTCAATAGATATTCAATTATTAAATTAAAATAACACCCCTATGAAATAATATAAGCAAACGTATGACACTTCATAATATAAATTAATGTCCCCACAAAATATTTTCTCATCAGACTAGAAAAAAAAATAAAAAAATAGAGAGAGAAAAAATAGTTCATTAAAAATGAAAAATAGTTCATTAAAAATGCAAAGTAGTTCATTAGAAGGGAGATACTACGGTCCTGTTACGGAATCATTCCATAAAAATTTGTAACCGTTAGATCAATTATCTTCAATGATTATATGATGATCTAACGATTACAACCCGATTGAATGGTTCCATAACGAGATCGTAGCATTTCATCTTTAAAAGAATAGAGAAAATGAAAATAGTTAATTAAAAAACACACGCCGACGAGAATAATTGACACGTTCACAAATACATCCTAAAATTATACAATTTTTTGTTGTTGTTGTTGTTGTTGTTGTTGTTGTTGTTGTTGTTGTTGTAATGGTGAGATATAATGGACAACTTGTTCGCAAATCTTAGGTCAACTTCAAAGTTCGGACATACTTGAATGTTAAATGCCGACATGATTTGATAAGATTTTAAGGAAAGTATATGCAATTGAGATTTTTAAAGATTTTTTTAGTACTTTATAATTTTTGTTGTATTCAATTTAGATTTGTCAGAAAATTTATTTTTTGGTACATCCCCCTCTCGTCGTTTCTCTCTAAAAAAACCCCACGAGAGCCGCCGTCCCTTTCGCTTTCCTTGGCCTCCTCCGGGGTGGCGCAGCAGATTTCGCGGCCGCTGCTAGCCGCTCAACCGATCCCATCGGCGTTCCCCTTCGATCTTGCCGTTTTGGTGGTTCCCTGCGTCTTTCCCCATTCGTAGGAGCGTGAGGTGCCGGCGACAACTTCAGGCCGGATTCTGTTGCCTCCGTCGCTCGGAGTTGCTTCGGGGTTTCGACTTGGATTTCATCCGGTCCCCACTAGTTCGGGTGCTGTGCTCATGGGCGGTTTTGGATGGTTGATTTGTTTAGGGTTTCGGTTTGGGGCTTTGGCGGGTGGATGCAGGTCCGGCTGTCGCGGTGGAGTTGTCGGGGCGTTGCTGTGTGGTGGCCGATTTGGGGCTCCGATGGTCGTCGCGCGTTGTTCGTGGTGGTCACTGGAGTGGGAGATTGGGCTGGGGGCAGCTATTTCGGTTCATCTGGGTCCGGCTGGGTCCGGCTAGTGGTGTTAATCGGACCTAACTTACAACTTTAATTGTTGAAAAAACAAAAGCAAACAACAGTTTTCTTTAAAAAATATAACCTTTTTTCGAAACCGACAACCAACTCAAATAAACCCATATTCAGAACTCTAATTCAATAAACCCACAAATTTCGCATTAATAATACAATTGAAAGCCTAACTTACCATATTTTGGAGGAGGATCATCGAACGCAGACAGCAATCTAAACTTCATCGAGAGTCGATTGAACTGTTAGGGTTTGTGTTTTGGGAGAAAATCTAAAGAGTCGATTGAACTGTTTGCAAAATAATTGATTCCCGTTTTTTATTTCAGTTTTTAATGGCATTTTTTTTTAATTACACGTATGTGGGTTAAAAGACACGCAGGCGGGTTAAAAGACACGCGGGCGGGTTAAAGGACACGTAGGCTCATCCGGTAACCTCGACCTGCAGTAGGCGGTCAGAGGACCAAATATCTAATTTTTTTTTTGGTTATGGGACTATTTCCAAAAACAGTCCATTTATGGGACCAAATTTAAAAGGGCCTGCAGATAAAGGACGAAAAAACCTTTTTTGCGGAATTATAGCTCTAATAGGACTAGATCTAGTTTTCCTATAAATACCTATGTACTTATTCAATTTCATCATTGAAGAAGTTTATAAAAAAATCGAACGTTTGTTCAAATATCGTGTTATTAAAATTCGTGAGAGTTTTGTCATACAACCTTGAGTTTAGCAAGGATTAACACCCGAGCTATCTCAAAACCATGAGAAGATAAGGAGCAATCCGAGTCGTCCACACCTATCGCCGAGAAGGAAGTTGTGGCAAAGCATCTTTCTACGCAAATCGAGTTGAGCGGATACACGATTCTTCATCATGTGTCCGGGGCGCGTCTCCGCCGAGAGACTTGTCCCGTAGCACGTGAGTCGCAACGTCCGTTGCAGCAGCCGCACTCGTGCCCACAGATGCTAGAATGGGGTTCGTTGGGTGTCCACATATCCCGCTCTGCGGACCGACTCGCCAGGTGCGAGTGGGTACTTAGTTTGACAAACAACTTGGGGCTGTGAAAGAACTGATGCTGAAATTTGACCCCAAGCATGGTGAAAATCGCACCCAGACCCGGAATGGTATTGTTTTCTCCTTGCGTCTCATGTGTGTTGTGTGCTCGGGGGACTATTTTTAACCCTTATATTTTTGGTTGTACACTAACAGGCCAGTACTTCCAAGCTGGTCGGCACGAGCATTTTTTTAAGGTAAAAGGGGAAAAACAAGGAATAACAAAACCGTGGGTCGCGAAGCGCTCAATCTAACGTCTTGAGCTCGATGTTCCCATATCAAAATCAATCGGGATTCAAGCAAAAATGTTGATTATGCCACTTCTTTGTATTTTCCAATTGTAGTCGAGAGGGTCGAATGGAACAAAAGTAGACCAAGTGAATTCTCGTGCCCAAGTTCTTGTGAAAAAAAAAAGATTGAAAAAATTTATCAATATTATAAAAAGATTATTTTAATTACTAATATATATATATATATATATACATATATATATATCTAGTGTTTACTAAAATATTAACTAAGTTTGAAGAAAAAATTCCGTTTATAATCTATATCGTAGATAAATTGTATTTTTTTGGTATTTATTTGTACACAATTGTTCAAGAAAGCATATTATTTTACCTAATAAAGTTAATACGTTTATGAAATTATATTATAAAATTAATGATAAGTATTAATATATATTTAGTTAAAATTATACATTAATATACATAATTTATCCCGTAAAAAATGTGATTTTTATGGATAAACAACTCTGTTTTAGGTGTCTCTTAGCTGTGGAATTTGAAGTTTTACTGATGATCATGATAGGTAGTTTATTGTTTATTATTTGTTGTTATTTATTTCTATTGGGATTAAAGGTCCTGTAATTAGATCTACTTCCAGTTGCCATGTTGGTGTGTGAATTGTGTTTTCTTATTCTGTGTCTATTCTTTTTTGTGTGTAATTATAGGGGTGTTCACGGTCCGGATTGGTCCGGTTTTAGCCCAAACCATGACCAAACCGGACCTAACGGTTAATTTTTTTTCTTGTCCATAACCGGACCGGTTTTATTTTTTAACCGACCACAATCCGAACCGCATTGGACGGTCCGGTTTGGCGGTTAACCGGTTAAATCCAAAATTCTTGTTTTGGGCCTTCAATTATATTTTTTTCATTTTGGGCTTAATTTTTTTTTTCAATTTTGAGCCCAAAAAAGATTATTTGGGCCTAAAAATTAGGAAAAATAACAATAATAAAATAAAAATATACAATTCGTCCTATAAGCATAAAAATATACATTTTGTCCCGTAAACATAAAAATATTAAAATGATGAAGATTAAATTATGCAAAAAAGCCAAAAAATGATAGTGAATTTATTGTATTTGTCGGTCATAGTGAATGACTGAATGTATATATATATATTTGTTATAGTTTTTTAACATTTACCGGTCCGGTCCGGTTAAACCGACGGTTTGCCGCATGTAATCCGTTAACCGGACCGGTTATTCCGGATTTTTAAAAAAATTAACCACCGAATTTTTTAAGGCTTTTTTAACCGACCATTTAACCGATCCGCGGTCCGGATTGACGGTTTTTTCCGGTTAAAACCGGACCGTGAACACCCCTATGTAATTAGACCTATAATTGGCTATGGTTTTTAATTGACAATATAATAGTATGTATTTAATTGTGTAGTGGCCTTTTTGGAGTTAATTTATTTTTGTATAATTGGTCATGATGGCTGTATTATACAAGTACTAACTTCACATTTGTGGGTGTGTGGTGTGTGTTGTGCAGGTTCTGCAATTCCACTTCCACAACACTAGGTATGTTTTTTCATTGAAATTTCGACTCTGTAGGAATGATTGGAAAACAGCCATTGAAAAGCATGACCAAAGCCTATTTTGCATTCAACATATCATTTTGGTCTTTGTTCGTTTCTGTTTCACTGCCTGTTTATTGAATAGAATTAAATATTTTTGTTTCTGATCTTTGTGCATGTGTTTAAAAAGTTATTCCTTAACCTTGTGTCTTCGGTTTCCTTGTGCAGCTTAAATATTTATAGTGTTGATTATATATATTAAACTTAGGATAATATAAAGTCAGTCAAGTGTGTATGTTAAATCTTTTAAAAAAACTTTATTGTCTTGT